TGTGAGGAAGTTAGGCAATAATTTATTCTTAAAAAAGTTGTGACTTCTATCGACTTATTTTGAAAGCAATTGTTGTTATTATTCATATTTTTCACAGGCCCACTGAGCTTGCACAATCACTTTTATTGATTGGAATGTTATTTATAAATTTCACCCTGGTTTTTCCGTTTTTCCTGCTTGCACGACGCTGATTATTGTTCACAAACGCATTGCTGCCCACGCACACCTTGTTTCTTCTTAATCAGTTGCCACATAAACAGATCTCTAATATGACCCCCATATATGTCTAAAGATTCCGTTGATAACTTCATGACCCGGTTATCCTTGATACACATTATCCTAGATTATATATATATATATATTATTTGGAACTGTGGTCTGTTCTACAAATGTCGACAGATATAATTAGCATGTATCAAGAGTTGAAAGTGAAACACTTGTCGGCGGAAGGTTAAGAAGTTGAAGAAAAGAGAACAAGAACAGAGAATGACTGGTGTGGAATTGAAAGAACATTAGTCTGAGACGATTGATTGACATTTTGTAAATGAAGTATTTACTGTATGGTTCTCAATTTTTCTAAGAGATACTGTAATTTTGTGTTCACATTCATTCGATTGTTCCCACTTGTGTTCTTGTTCACTACAGAAATATTGCCTATTGTAGTTGTAAATTTTGCAAATAAAAACCCAGCATACTTCCAACGGAAAACATAAATAACAACCATTATTTTAGTTTTTGATTTATATTTTGTAAATTTTTAGTCATCCCACTTTCGCAATAACTTTCGCATTGTTCTTGTTTTGACAGTTTTGATCCACTACAATCTTTTCTCAGACACATAATTTTTCATCTTGGGGTAATGAATTAAGTGGTTCAAACAGTTACAAACAAAATGGAAGACGTTCCCGCCTAATTACATAGGTGTATGAAAACATCTAAAAGTAAGTGATTTAGTACCAACCTCAAATCTTCGACAGTGATGGTTGTAATTTGGTGGCCCTAAATCTGACTCCAGTAAAATCATGTGCTGATTGTTATTGAAATATAAGTGCCGTCAACCCTCATATATTTTTACCTACTTAACTGGAATTATAGAAAAACGGAATAAAATAAGCCACATACGAAAATGTATTTTGAATACGTATATTTCATTTACTCAACAATCCGAATAGACAACGAAGCAAAGTGACGCGTAGCCGTAAAGGCGAGTAAGCCAACTCGTTTTGGCCAAGCGTGACTCAATATTTATATTCAAACAAAAATAGGTCACAGACGCATGATAAATAGGGGGGGGCAATTAACACGCGTTCATATAGGAAACGGTGAGAGATAATAAGCGAATAACTGATAACATCATAATGGGGCTTGAAAATAGTGAGTAAATTGGTCTGTCTATAAGCTAGATTAGCCTATGTGAGCTTGACCTATTATCCTCCACTACATTAGTTTGGTTGACTAGTGTTCTTTTTCGAAGTGTTTACCGATGTAACTTCCGTTCCTAAAGGAAAATGTTTACTGACCGACCCAATACTAACTGTTTAGGGAAAAAGTTATGCTAGTTTACATTCATTATTTTGTGGTTATTGAAACTTTTACATGATTACCTGTGCTATCGATATTCCCTCAGAGAACACAAAACTGAGACGTACTAGTATCTAAATATTCAACTTTGGTAGGTTAGTATTTTATCTAGTTTATAATTTGGACCTTCTAATATTTGCCTTAGGTTTTGATTATATTTTAATGCACTCCTAACTTTGAATCCGGACTTAGTGAGTTCTCATTTTTGTATCTTGTCGAAGTTTTACTGCTTGATTACTTCACGAGTGATTCGTAATTCTATCAAAGAGATATCGGATACTCAGGGTTTGAATATGCTGCAGTCCAAATCTCTCTTAACGGAGTGATAGTGAATTCGGTTAGACCAGAAGTCGAGGACGATTGGATGGAAATATGTGCACGGTTCGGGTAGTTTTCGGGGCGTAGAATGTCTAGGCTTGCTAGTTTTTGGATGGGATGAGTTTCACTACTCATCGAAACACGACATGTTGCGGATGCCTGACGCAAAAATATTCCTCTTTTCGGTGTTTTTCATCGAAACATTGTATATATAGACATGTCAAAATTTTTTGGTTCATTTTGTGGTTTCTAATCCAACGTTAGTTACAATTGAGATCAGGCAGACGTAAAACTTAGGAAACTGCATTGTTTGTATGAACTAAGAATTCTTTTGTACTTGATGACTACATGATTTAGAAATTTCGCAAAATCAAGGAGATAGTTTGTAATACTACCATTCACTTTGCTACAACTGGTGGTAAACTTGGTAATTCCGATCTGGAGCTAACACGAAAACTACTTAAAAAAGGTTGTGTGTGACACATTAGACCCATCAGACGTGAACTCTGTGATGAAAAAGTCAAACGTAGGCTCCAGGAACAAATGAGGTCACACTTAAGCAGTTCTAAAAACGAAGCTGACCCAAACGTTACTTGGAATGATATAAAAACAGCTGTGGAAACAACAACGACATATATTAGTAATTAGAACCAAATGCCACGAAAGATAAGTGGATTTATAATAAGTCTATTGCGCTGACAAATTCTCGTAAACTCGTCCCATCAGGCTCACTGAGTGTCTACTCTTCTCTTGAACGAGTCATTTGAAGGTTCGGACACCACCGGTTCGGGTAACAGGTTCCATGAATTGATGATTCTGTGTGAAGACCTGTATGACACGAGTATTTTGTTCGTTCTTGACTATATTCCCTGAGGCGTCCCGGTCTGGTGTGAGGAAAAACAGAGGACATATTAGGTCCGAAATTATATCTTAGAATTCTATGCATCAAAATCAGATCACTTTTTATTCTGCGATAGTAGAACAGAGTAGAGAGATCTAGATTTCCAAGCCGGTCTTTGTATGGTAAACTTCAGAGTTCTGTAATTTCACGGATAGTTACCTTCTGTATGTTTTCCAAGATATCCGACTCACCTTTTAAACAGGGGTATGCAGCCTTAACGCAGTTCTCAGGCTTAGTTCTCATTAATGATTTGTATATTGTAGTGAACATGCTGGTATCTGACTTGGTGAATGTCCGTCTTAAGGCCCATAGAGATCTAAACCTCTTAGTTTCAATCTCCTGTCAGTGGACTGTGGCCTTAAGGTCACGTGTCATTGTCACCCTGAAATCCTTGTAAGACTGAACCACGCGTACAGACACTTCCCCTAGGTTGCACCTATTTATCTTTGTATCCTCGAAGTGAATGTAAACACACTTTGCCGCGTTGATAGGTATCAGCTAATCACAATATTTAAGTCTGCCTGAAGTGCTCATGTAGATGGGTCTGCTTTTATTTCTCGCCAGAATTCCAAATCATCAGCGTATAGTAGAATCGGAGACTCAGTTGTACTTGAGAGTTCATTTACACACAGTATAAGATGTAAAGGACCTAAGACAACCTTAAGGTACTCTGGTAATTACTGGTTTCCAGGTGAAACACTTGAAATTTATTCTAATTTTCTGTCTACGACCTATCAGAAAATCCTAAACCATGTTGTTTGCTGTTTAACAAGTTGCTGGCTTCAATTATCTTAACTACAACACTGGTGAGGCTGATAGGTTTGTAGTTCGATGGAAGTTATCTTGGTCCTGTTTTATGTATTGGAGTGACGATTGCATCATTCCAGTCTGTAGGTAAAGCATCTTGGCCATGTGACATATTGAATATTACAGTCAGTGGGGCTGCAATATATTGTGTCATTTGTCATAGGATTTTGGGGTGTAGTTCATCCTATCTCGTTAACATTTCCGAGTCTAAACTGTTGAGAGCCTCAGGTATATCGTCTCGATCAAAGTCTACGGTGAGCGGATGGTTTGTTGACTTTTTATTTGGGTCTAGCTTCTCGTCTAGAAGAGACTCCTGAGTGAAAACTGCCACGAAATAGTTTGCTATAGCCTTCGCTTTTTCCTGATCATCCTCTATCTCTTGAGATCCACTCCCTTTCATAATTAGCCTGGGAATCCAAGGTTCTGTAATTTTTATAAGAGAATAACCTCTTAGACTGCTTAATCGTAGATTGTGCCAACCGCGTTTCATATTTTTGTTGAGCTTCCCGGATTTTAATAATACACTGATTTCTTACCGACGTATGGCATTCCATAGTACCTGTTGTGCCAAGACTGATGCCAACGTTCCAACATTTCTTCTTCTAACTTAGTAAATGTCGAATGTCTCAGCCTATCCAGAGGTGACCATGTTTCTTCTTCTTCTTCGGGAAAGTCATAGGTATATATGGTTGAGTTACCTAATTGTATAATTGCCTTAACTAAATCCATGCCTCTTCTACTGATGCCTTTGAGTCAATTATCCAGTTCTCAGCCGACGCCGTAGAGTTTATCACCCCCATGTCTCCCTTCCATATGTTAGGACCAGCCGGCGCAACTGTTTGATAGGCCATCTCAGCCAGGAACATGAATAAGATGACTGCGTGATCAATTCTCCCTAGTGGTGGGAGTAAAGTTATTTGAACGACATCATCACCAAGTGTGAAAACTAAGTCCAAGAAAGACGAGTTTTGTATGTAACACCTGATGAGACCTCTAATGTGCTGGAATAAAGCTAGCCCTACTGGATAAAAAACCAATCAACTGAATTTGATTACCAAACACTTCTGATGTTAACAATGTTTCTGAAACAGCAATGACATCCGGTTTTTCTATATTCCAAATTTGACTTATTCAATAAAAAATGATGTGTACGAAATAAAACAGAAATTTACTGACACAGTCCCTTGGACTTCTGCCCTCAATCCAAAAATTTCGAAATCTTAATTGGATATTGAAGTCCTGTATTCTCATTGTCTGTGTTTTAACCTTCATACTACAAACGCGTCAGTTCCGTTGTGGCAAAAATGGCGAATCGTTGGGGCCGAAATGGTAATTGTTGTTCCGTGTTTTTATCTCATTTTACCGTATTTTTTGGCTCGTACTAACTTGTAAAATGTTTTCAGCACCTTATGGTGGAGCAGGCGGTGGCGGTAGTGGTTACATGGGTTCTGGGGTTGTTGGTGTAGGCTTCTATATGGGTGGGCCTACCCCAAATGACCGCAGACCTTACAACGCTGCCCCGGTTGCTAAGCCTTTTTACGGTGGATACCGAGAAGATAACTACAACAGACGATCAGATCGACGAGACGATTTCCGTGGTGGTAAGCGTGGTCAGCCGAAAGGGCGAAGTCCGGAGAAACGTTACCATGATACACCACCTAGCCAGCGTAAAGACCACAGAGCTTTCGGGAAGCGCCAGTCGTCATTTTCACGTTACGAAGTGAAGATCCCCAAAGGGTTGTTCAACGTGTCTTCATCGTCCTTACCTGACCTCCGACATCGATACCCTCATCTCAACATATCAGGTGACTTTTACGAGTGCACATCATTATGGGTAGAATCTTTCCCCATGCACGAACCATTTCAACTAGGAAGTGGCACAGATTACCATGTAAGTTTCACCTATTATTATGCTGTGACGTGCTTGTCAGGTTTTCCACCGGGACGTTGATCCCCCCACACCCCTAGACTCAGCTCTTCTGAACCCACCCGATGCAGATTATTCCTATTCAGCCCGAGTTATGCTGATGGCTTGCCCACAACTTGGTGAGTTATATAAAAATACTTGTCGTATGGCGGACGATGCCAATGGAGCTGGTAAAGTCCTGCCTGACAAGAGTATACACTTTCTGGTTGGCGGTCGTGCAAAGAGTGAAACTATGGCTCTTGGTGGACCTTGGTCACCAAGCTTAGACGGACCTGATCCCCAAGGGGACCCAAGAACTCTCATCAAGACAGCTATCCGGACGTTCAAAGGCTTGACTGGACTAGACTTATCTTCTTGCACTGAATGGTTACTCGAATTAAATAACCCATTTATACTTACTTTACAGGGTCAGATTCATGGAGCTCAAGTATTATCGTATGCCTGACACAAAAGCTCCAGCTTTTACAGAAGCTGAAGAAGAAAGAGAGATAACATCAGAACGCCCTGAAGTCGTGGTGTTCTTTATACCTAATGCCGCTCATTTAATTCCTTCGGAAGAACAGTGGGCTAAGACCAAAGAGTATTACAACTCCATACTGCAAAAACAATTGACTGTAGAGAAGGTAGAAGAAGATAGTATAATGGAGCAGCAAGATGGTGATACAAGCGTGGCAGATGTCAGTGTAGAGGAACCCGAAGAGTCAAGCGCGCGCTCAGACATGGAGCCGACTCACTACTCTAAACTAGATGTAAATACTCTCAAGGTAAGACGTTATTAGTTCCGTCTTAATCCTTCTAGGTTAGCGACCTACGAAACGAATTGGCAGCTAGGAAGTTAGATACCAAAGGCCTTAAGGTTAATTTAGTGGCCCGTTTACAAAGTGCTCTGGATGAGGAAAAAAAGGCAGACGCCCCAGAAGACATTAAGATTGATGAGGAGGTTAAAGGTAAATGAGGATCTGTTTTTTGCTTTGGTTCTCAATAATTAAGAGTTAATAGGACCACAAGAACGGCTGTGGATATTTTTATTCTGATAATTAACCAAACAATTGGTTATGAAACTCATATCGCCCTTCTTTCTGCTTGTATTCAGCCGAACAGACTCCGAATAAGATCTCTTCGCCGTCTGCGACGCAGCCAAAGGATGATTCAAAGGACCTATCTGAAAAAGATCGCCGGCGTCTGGAACGCCTCTACCGTCTTGGTGATAAGCCAGCCATCGTTATCCATCCGAACAAATCAGCTAAGGGGGGTCGTTTCGATTGTCATCGTGTTTCTTTGTTCTCTCTACTCGACTATCATACTGAAGACCAAAAAGAGCACAATTTTGAAGTATCCCTGTTCGCTGAACAGTTCCATGAAATGCTTCAACGGGATGCAGCCTTCACAATATTCAAGGCTATTCACGATGCACCTGAGAAAGAAATTAAACCTGAACAAGATGGAAAGTACGACGATATTCTGCGTAACGTAGATGTATTTAGGTCACAATTATTAATTAGTTGATCTGCCCTTCCAGATTGTCGTTGTCCAATAGCTGGCGCGTCATGATTGGATAGGCATAGATATTATATATACTTCATGTTTTTCTTGTATTTCTTTCCAGAAATAATCCGCAGTTTTGTTTTTCAGACTCGAAAACGGTTTCGATTCCGACGAACCCGATTCTAAGCGACGCAGAAATGACAGTCAAAATGGTCATTGCGATGAACAGGACGAGATTAAAGTCCGCCGCCTCAGGCGAACTGTGAACCCAGCTCTGTTGTTCGCGTTTACCTACTTTGACATGAGCCGAGCTGGGTATATTCGAGAACATGATTTGTGTGAAATACTCCACCTTCTCGGTCTTCGATACTCTCGCACCCAGGTTAGTTAGCAGTTTCCCACCACGGAACAATATTTCTAAGTTGTTAGTTTAAATCGATACTAGTGTGTTAAATACAACCTGACATGTAACAAGTTATGCGGCTTCATATGGGTTTAACCTATGTCGATCTTATAGTGTTGATCATGACAAGTATGTCTATGCAGTTAGTACTGCAGTGCATACTTTCAACTAGAAATCACCGAAGCACATTCCCTTAAAATAGATAATACGTTACAGTGCTTAAGTTTGGGATTAGGTGTTAAGTACATTATTGCGAGAACTACTTAACAGCTTCATTTTCTTGATTTACAGATGCGTAAACTTGTGGCCAGGGTGGCTACTCGGCGTGACCACGTGTCGTACCATAACTTGACAGATAGCGATATTGTCGAGGGTGATGAAAAAGACGTCGTTTCCATGAACTTGAATGTCAAAGAGGATGTCGAAGTAACGAGGATGCTTGCACTTGGTAACCGAGCTCTTTTCGATATGACAGTTCCACAAACTCCTGCAAGGTAAATTCTGTATGCCTTATGACTTCGTTTAAGGATTGTTCTTGGTGGCGGAAATACGGAACAAATGTTGAAGCGAGTGGAGTTAGCTGAGGCAGTCAAACAAAAGCTTGAATTCCAATTCTTCCAGATAAAGGATGAGCTAGGTAGGCTAGCAATGTTTATATTATTTGTCTTCTAGAAAAAACACGGGTCAAGGTAAACTCGTTCAAAGATACTGAGGACGAGTTGAGGGCAGAAAATCGTGATTTAGCATCGCGCCTTAAGTCTGAACAAAAGCAACTTCATGAATATAAAAGTCAAGCAAACACCTACAACCACTTATTGCGCTCGGCAAGAGATCAAATGGATAAAGCTCTTTTCGACATTAACAAACAGTTCGACAAGGAAAAAGCAAAGCGCGAGGCTGAAAAAGCTGCTGCTGATGCGGAAAAAGCCAAAGCTGAAGAGGAAGCTAATAAACTCAAAGAAAAGGTAACTTGTGTTTGTTTTCTTGATGGATTTTTTTAGGATGACAAGGTTGAGGATTGTGAAAAGTCCGAGGAAAAAGAGTGGGAAGTTGTTGACGCTGTCTGATTTATGACACTGCATTTACTGTGAAGCGTTCTGTTACTTACCTCTCATATGTACGTCATTTTAACTAACCTTAACTTTGCCATACACTCCAAATATACTGCGTACGTTCCCCAAATACTTTTTGTGTTTTGAAAGCGATTGGGTTTCTGGTTTATTATTCTGTAGCAATTCGACGTAATCTAGCGTTTTGAATTGGGTATTACCGAATTAAATATCGATTAGAGTTGTGGTAGTTTAACTCGGAAAAGACGACACTTATCTGCTCTCAGCCCAGACGTTTAGAACGACAGGCGGAACACTAAAGAGCAGTTCAGCTGCTCTACAATTACCTACCATTCCAAGACAATCTGAATGGAACATTAAAGTTGGTCTCCCGACTCTAGTTAAAGTCCAAAATGCTATAGCTAATCCAAAACAAGAAAGAGCGGATGTATTTAGGGGTGGTGATCTGGTTTAAGCGACTAGGTTGATTAATTTAGCTAACATTTGTGAACTGGATGTAATCCATAAGAAGGGGTCGAAATTATCCTGCGATAATCAGAGGGGTTAGTTTCGCTAATATAACATCTATAACAGTAGATGCCTAACAGACTCGTGAACTGCAAACATGAAATCAGGCTGGCTACAGACCTGGTCGTTGCTGCATTACCCACATGTTCGCTGTTCGTCGGACTTTAGAACACAGGCGTGTGTATCGGCGCCCGGCGATCGTGGTCTTTCTTGACGTAAAGCAGCATTTGACTCGGGACCGCGAGATCCTGTGTTCGTGTCTGTCAGTGAATGGCGTGCCTCAAGTACATAAACCTTGTGAAGGCTCTTTACTTGAAGACTACTAGTTGAGTGAGAGCTTATGGCGAACTGTCATCTGCTTCTGGAACGTCAAGTGGTGTCCAGCAGGACTGTCCACTTTTTCCATTTTTGTTCAACTTGATGGAAATAACGTTCTCTTCGACTGAATTCTCGGGCATTTGTCTCCTCCCAGGTGGTCCACTTATCGAATACACAGATTATATAGTCCTGTTTAGTGAGGACGCTGATAAATTGCAGATTCTTTTGGTAGCACTGAGCAACAATGCTAGGATGTTTGAGATGCCTTTCTCCACCTCTAAATGTAGGTTGTTGCCTCAGGATTGGCTTGTGTCAACACGTGAACTAAGGATAGGTAGTGAAGTAGTCGAACGTGTTGACAACTTCACTTATCTTGAAAGTCTGATCAGTCCTAATGGGTTGGTATCTGACGAACTAATTCTTTCCCATAATACAGCCTTATACGCAATCTTTCTTTTACTTATTACTACTATTGAAGTATCTTCTATGAATTTGGTGTTCATCTTGTGCTAATGAGATGTGGCATCTTGAACCGATGCATACATGTGCCTGGTCCTATTTTGTAGCTAACTGAGTGAAGTGTGTAGGTTAAAGTTGTACGTGTCGGTGTGCAAAGGATTGTCGAGTTGCATTACATTGGATCAGAGAAGGTCACTTGCATTGAGTTTCTCCCATGTGAGCGGTTGGCGCAATCGCATCTCCCAGTAAGATCGCAATAGTACACTTCACGCATTGATGGGATCCGGTTACTTGCTGATGTCAGTTGAAATAACTTTTAGCGATGTTAGGCTATGGTACAGTTATTGTTAGCTTATGTAACATACCTGATATTTATTGTGCATTGTCGGTTCCTGATGTGAAGTCCTGGGCGTATCCTGTCATTGGTACTTCAAAACGGCACAAACAATATCAGTATTTTGCCAATGTGTTTAGGCGATCAATTGTGGCATTAAAACACAATACAACTTACTCCGAAGGTTTGTGTGCTCAGTTTTAACTGGCTGCTAATGTGGTGCCTAGGAAATAAATTCCCGAAAACTCGGATTTTCAAGGTTGGTGAGTACTATTTCTTTCGTCAGCAGGAGTAAATATGTCAGGAAATCGTAGGGAAAGGCTCGCGTTATTAGTCAGCTACCCCCTGGGTCCCCCTCACTAGTCGTATCTCCCTCAGTAGGGCAACTCCTTAACAAGAAGGTAAAATCCAAATGGACATGACTGTCTCTTATTTACTTACTGAAAAGATACTCATTTAAAAATTCATTTGTCAGTTAAGCAGTATTTTCTTTCAAAATCTATGAACAGAATAAGTATTGTATAAAATAATCGATGGGTCATTTCGGGAAGATCAGAAATGGTCTTTATGCAATCAATTTAAAGGGATTCCAATTTTTCTCAGTCAGTTTTATTTTACGTCTTATATTAGCAGGAGGTAAAAGATTCAGCCTCAGAACCAAGACTGATTTTGTACTTGAACTATCCAACTATCTACCCTTAAAAATCTAACACTGGAATGCTTGTACACACTATTATTCACATTCAAGATTAACGTGGAATGTAGCGTCAAACATAGTTTAGACTGGTCTTTATTTCCCGCTTCTTCAATAAAAAAAAACCCAACGAGGAGTAACACTTACCACCAAACCATGTGTTTAAATATCGGGACGTCTCAACCACTATCATCAGTTCAACCTCAATGAGAAATAGAAGTGCAGGTTTTCGTGTTAATGCTTAGTTAATGTATGGTGTAAAATGAAATGATCATTAGTTGAATAACTTGTGTATTTTCATATTAAGATCATACTATATCAATGTACCCGGATTCGGTATATTTTTCTTTGGGAAATACAACATTAATAATATTATGTCGTTCAGTGCTGTTCAAATCCAATAATTACATGTACTAAGTTGAAAAGGATTATTGGGAAGTAATCAATAAGTATTAGGGACCTTTAGTTTAATATTGACTTCCGTGATAAATAACCAGTGATACGTTTAAAAATGGATAAAGTTTTGAGCCTCCACAATATTGTTTCACTTATTATCAGCTAAACTGTTATAAATAAAACAGTGAAATTAATGTTTAAGGTGTTTGACTTTCAGCTACTAAGTCCCAGGTTTGAATCCCGCTCTACCGACTTTGGTTTAAGCAGTTGGATTGTATCATTAAACCAACACACTAATAGTATGATTCATACTCATGTACCTGATGAATGAGTCAATTGATCTAATTATTATTTAAATTTTCTTAATTGACTTGTTTATACTTGTCTATATTAGTATGTATACTAACACAAGTAAGCAATTTTTGGTTGTCGTATGGATTGTTAACAGTTGAAGTAAACAATCAGAAGAGCATTTATTCATTGGTTGTTGTTGTGTTTTTTTTTTTTACCTAAAATAATCTACGTTTAATGGTACTCAATTTCAATAGACCACTGAGCCGGCATCTAGTGGTTATGTGCTCGCGCGAAACCAGTAGGTCCTGGGTTCGAATCTCGCAGGGGAGCGAGGTCGTGGATGCGCACTTCTGAGGAGTCCCATGATAGAACGAAATGACCGTCCAGTGCTTTCAGGTTTTCCATGGTAGTCTAACTTCAACTGACTCATGATCTTAACCATTGAAATTACTACAATCTCCACAAAACCCCTTCTGATAATAAAGTAATTCCCTTGATAATAATGTAAATCTCTGATAAATAAAAATGTTAGGACGGTGTATTCTATATGTCAAACATATCCGTAACTAGTTAAGTCACGTTAGTTGAAGTACAATTTAGACTATAGTGTAGATACATGACACGTAATAATTTATTAATGCTGATCGAACCATAGACTTCGTAAATGTGATCATCAGTAGAATACACGAAATAGTTGTGGGTAGAGGATCGATGATTTTTGCCTAAAATTGATGATACAGATATAATGGCCGTATTGTTTTCTCAGGATTTTGGGGTGTAGTTCATCCTATCCCGTTAACATTTCCGCGTCTAAACTGTTGAGAGCCTCAGGTATATCGTCTCGATCAAAGTCTACGGTGAGCGGATGGTTTGTTGACTTTTTATTTGGGTCTAGTTTCTCGTCTAGAAGAGACTCCTGAGTGAAAACCGCCACGAAATAGTTTGCTATAGCCTTCGCTTTTTCCTGATCATTCTGGGAATCCAGTGCTGCGTCCTTGTCCTGTAATCGATGATCGTTGCCTAAAATTGATGATACAGTTATAATGATCGTATTGCTTTGTCTTCCACGATCAAAAAATGTACATGTCTAAGAAATTGTCATTCAAAACGGTTCTTGAAAATTCAAATTAGCTATATATTTTGGTTTTTATGCTTGAAGAACCTAATTACTAGTTTCCAGAATAGTCTTAATACCATAACCATACGGTATTATTAAGAGACAGAAATATTCGTCAGTGGTTTATTGTTTACATCTACACTGTCATGTATCTTAAATCATAAATGACACTGATGTTACGTTATTTGAAGGCGATCAAAAGAAAGTCCTACTCCTGTATTTTATACTAGTAGACAGCTATCAGTGATTATTATTTGGCTGCAATCTTAACCGAACCAATACTACATTTGGGGTTCAAATTTTATGAATATAGTTCAATTGGTATCATGTGTTAAACATGACAATAACTATCAAGTTAGTTTGAAAATCCTAGAAGATATATCGAGTTGTGACCTGAATAGTTCCTTTGTAACGTAGGCTTGGTTTATTTGCTTGAAATTAAATCTCTAGTTGGTATCTATACATTACTGATGACAAGTATCAACCAGTAACGGATCTGGATCTTGAAATTCATGTAAATTACTTTCAGGAATTGGAATTGAAGAGGGAGATTGAGTATAAATACAATGATCTTCAGTGCTGTTAAAGGTATGAGGGCAGTTATCTCTTCCCTGTTGCCCACACCGTGGAAGGGTTATTCTGAAGGTACCTGAAAAGGAAATTGCGTTAGAGATGGTCTTAGTAACCTGAGAGTGTGACCGCAGTGCCGAAGGGACAACTGCTTGAGGTTGGTCACACAACCTTTGTGTGAGTAATTTTCGTGTTCGCTCCGTACTTGTTGAAACCATACCGCCGGAGACGTGGATCCGTGTGATAAGGCAAGATGTGCATTCTAGGGTTGACCCTACCTAACCTCACCCCTCCTTTTGCGAAAGCAG